ATTAAACGAGGTACGTATTATATATATCTAATAGTACTAGTAGCCGGATTAACTATAACCTCTTCTATAGTACTATCGCTATAGATAGCAATATCTTTAATTAAGTTATTATAGCTCGAGCGATCTACGTCCTTTCTTTTAACGTACACTAGAAGAACGACAACTCCGCTATAGTATTTGTTGCCGCCGCGGGGTCCGGAAGTCCGCTTATCCTATACTTGCTTTACGGCAAGGTCTATAGCAATCTTATACTATAGGGTTAGAAACAAAGAATTAATGTACTAGGTCTCGCTACCGTAATTAGGTCGCCTCGATAGGCTATTAGTAGGGTTGCTTACGCCTAGCCGATATAATATATTAAAATCGAACCCGGCGAGGTAGACGGCCTATCTAGCCTATCGACCTATAACTCGGGTAATCTTCGTAATCCTACGGAGGTTGTTATAGTCCGTACAGACCTAAATAGTACACTACGCACTATCGAGATAGTAGCGCTAGTACTTAAAGACTTCTACGATTGCTAGGAGCTCTTACTCGTAGGTCTCGTAACGACGCTCTATATCGATTATCTTTCGTAAGAAGAAGGCAATCGGATACTAGTAGGTATTATTAGCCTACTATAATATAATAGCTAATATAGCGAACTATAAAGCGTTAGTCTTAATACGGATCTGCCTACTTAGTACGAAATAGTATAATAAGGGGACTTTAGTAAAGCGTTGCTTTAAACCGTTAAAAGCGGCTTATGCCTTATTAGTCTATTTAAACTCTCTAGACAGGTTAGCCTTAGTTTTAGTAAGCTTAGTTAGAGGCATTATGTGCCGTAAATAGCCCTTAATAAAGCGACGATAGAAATTAGCGAAGCCGAGGAATAATTAAAGCTCTTTAATACTAGTAGGTACTAGCTACTTAGTAATAGTCTTAATCCGATTAGGATTAGCCCTAATACCCTTAGTTAATACGAGGAAGCTAATGAAGGGCACTTCTTTAGCAGCAAAGGTGCATTTAGAAGGCTTATAATACAAGCTATAGGCCCGTAGGCGGTCGAGTACCTTACGGACCGTAGCCTAGTATTCCGCAATGTTAGGTAAGTATATATAAACTAGGATGTTATCTAGGTAAACTATATAGAGGTAGTCTAATAGGCCTAATAGGGCCCGATTAATATAGGACTAGAATATAGCAGGAGCATTAGCTAGGCCGAATAGTATAACTAAATACTTAAAATAGCTATAACGAGTGCGGAAGGCCGTCTTCTATTTATCGCCCTTACGAATACGAATGCGGTAATAGGCGTCCTTAATATCTAATATAGTATAGAAGTAGGCCCTAGAAAGGCGATTAAGGGTCTTATTAATAAGCGGAAGTAGATAGCGGTCTTTAATAGTAATAGCATTAAGTCTACGGTAATTAACGTATAAACGTAGGCTACTATCCTTCTTAGGAACAAACAGGATTAGTATACTAGTAGGGCTGTTGCTATACTAAATTCGACTATTAGCTAGGTTCTTATCTAGGTACTTACGTAGTATAGCGAGCTCGCGTTTACTAAGGTTATAGAGGGGCCTAAAAGGAACCTCCTTGCCCTATATAATATCGATCTTATAGTCCGTCTCCTTAAATATAGGCAATATCGATGCTAGGTAGTGTTTAAATACATTAATATAGGTCTCGCGAATAGGTTATAGGATACGAGCGAGTTAATTAGGGTCTATACTATTAGGGGGCATAGGTTTATCGTTATCTCTACCGAGAAGATTAGCAGTTAGATCGGCTAAGGCGGAGGCTAGTATTAAGTTACTAATAAACAGGACCCTAATATCGTTAGGGCACTCGCTAGCGCTAATATATTTAATATCCTCTTTCCTAGCGATTCTAAATCGCTACTACCAGCTGCCTAGGTCTATAGCTACGGCGTAGTGCTTAAGAATAGGGTTACTAATAACAATAGTAGCTCCCCTATATAGGTTGTCTATATCTACTACGTAGGTAGTAAAGTCTAATAAGCGCTTATTGCCGAGGTCGTCTCTTAGAACTATAGGAATATAGTAAGCCCCGTAGGTTAAGTACCGAGCGTTATTAAACTAAGTAAGGGTTAGTAGGTCGGCCTTATTTAATTGTCGAAGGTCTAATTGCTTAGCTAGGCGATAGCTAATAAGGGCACTAACTAAATTTCCTAGATCTAGTATAACCTTAGTCTTATAGTTAGTTCTATACGTATCCTATATAAGGTAGGTACGTATAATAGCTAGCGTAATATCGATAGTTTTACGCTATACGAGGCTAACAGTTAGTGCGGCGCTTATTCTTTTTTCGAAGGTTAGCCTATAGGGGTAGCGTTAGCTACTAAGAGGTGCTTTTAGTACTTAGCGGTAGTATAGTCGATTCGGGCCTAATCCTTAGGTTTGTTATATTAGCCTAGTAGATAGCTAGTGCTATTATAGTTAAAGCATTTTAATCTAGTAGGGAGATTGCTATAGCTGCTATTATTGTTAGTAGAGCGGTTAGTACTATAGGGATACGAGCCCCTTCTACGGCCCCTATTACGGCCTCCTCTATATAGCCGACGGCTACGGCCTCTTCTACGGTCGTTGTTACTATTCCTACTATTATTAGCACTATTGTTTTAGTAGGAACCTTAGTTTCCTCCGCGGCTACGGTTGCTACGGTTAGTACTAGCTAGTCGGATCCTCGATTCTAGTCGTTACTAGAGCTAAATAGCTCGTTCGGCTGTTTCTACTTCGACTATAAATTAAATACGTATTAGATTAGCCTATTCGAATATACGGCGGCGGTCTAATTCGAGGATAAGCTCCTACCTAAGTTTTAGGCGTATCTTAGAGATCTATATAGAATTAGTCTTAGCCGGAAGGTCGTCCTCGAAGGTCTTTAAATAGGCCTTAAATAAACGAGCCGACTAGTTAGTCTTCTATTTAGCTTAAAGGTACTAGTCCTAAGCGTATTGTTGCCTTAGTATAGGGTTTCTAAGGGTATCTAGTATAATAGTTTTATAGGTCTGCTACTAAATAGTAGTCTAGTTATTAAGGGAGTCGAAATAGTTATCCTAGGTACGCTTTAGGTCTCTATTAATATATTATATAGTATAGACGACTAACGAGTAGTCGTCTAGAAGAGCCCTTAGTGCGTTCCGCTAGTTAAGCTTATAGTTACGGATATAGTCGTTATATTGCTTTCGACTAGAGCTATTATAGTAGGGAAACCCGGCTTAGTATAGGTGTGTATACTTGTACCCTCTTTCCTTTTTTTATACCCCCGAACACATATAACTACCTTTATAATTAATATACACACATACACTATATAAGGAGACATAGCTACGACAACATATAGCAAGAAAGACATAGGAAATGTACCTAATCTAGCTACAATATAGCCCTCCCTACGGCTATTCTCTTCTCTTTAATATTTACAATGCCTTCCTTTCGAAGTATATAATGCTACGCCGACCCCCTCGTAGTTACCTAAGAGACACTAAGAACTAGGCCTATAGTATACAGTTCCCTATATATATACCTCTACCTACGACCTACTCGTCCCGCCTATACTATTAAATACAGTATAGTCCTTAAGCTTAGTATCCTTCTTTTAAATAGTTAGTAAGGAAGGCCCTACTATCGGCTTAGTATTAGATATTAGGGCTTCCTATAGGCGGCGAATTTCGAGGAGGTTCTCCTTTAGCTATTGTTCTTAACGTAAAGTAGCGAGCCTGTTTTAGGTAGCTTCTTAAAGTCTCGCTACTAGCTAGGGGCTAAAGGCTAGTTAGCTATATCGACGGTTAATAATATTGCTAAGAATATCTTTAATAGGCAATTCTAGATTATTACTTAGAACTATAGGTTCTTCGGTAGGCCTAGTAGTAGGCTCTTTAGTAGGTGCTTTAGTAGGCACTTTAGTAGGCACTGTGCTACTAGCGTTGTCGTTGCTAGCGCTGCTAGCGGCGCCGCGATTATTGTTACTTCGTAATAAGCCGGCTATTATAAGGAGTAATACTAATAATATATTATAGGCCCCTAATCCCCTATAATACGGATATAGCGGAATTAGTAGATATCGGCCTAATATAATTAACTTAGTATAATAGGCCGTATAGAAGGCCTTGCTCGATAATTAGTACGGTTGTTTTAGTAGAATAGTATATATAGGTCCCGTTCTTCGGGCGTAATATAGTTAAATTAATAGTTTTTATAGCTATACCGCTAAAAGCTTAAAATAAGGACTATCTAGCTACTACCCTTAAAGGGTAGATCGAATACTATATAAGAAGGGTTATATTAGTAGGTAGATAGGGTAGTAGTAGGTATAAGTAGTATTCGATAAGGATCTAGGAGAAGAGGGAGGAAGATAGGCTAGTTAGCCTAACGCTAAGCGCTAAGCCTTGCCTAAGGTACTAAGACCCTAGCTTTACTCGGCCTAATTATATGCTAATTACGTATAGCCTCTTTAGCTCTAATACTACCCTAATAACCTCCTCGTTACTCTAAGGGCCTTCTTTATCCTTTACCTTATCTTTAGTATACGCTAACTCCGCCTATTACTAGTTTACTAGGTTTAGGTCTACCCTTAAGTTCTTTACTATTAACTCGAGCTTCGAGAGACGCTTAATAAGTGCCTTCTAGCGCTTACTCTTAGTAGATAAGCGTAGCTTTAATAGACTCGCTAGCGGTACTAAGTTATAGACCTCTTCTATCGTTAATTCTATACCTTTAGACCTTAGTCTACGGCGCTATCTTAACTATTCCTTTAAGCGAAAGCGGACCGGACTCTTATTATATATATTAGTCTATATTTATCTATAGAAGTAGTCTATAAACCTTTCTACTTAGTATACTTAGTAGTATTATATTCCTTTACTTGCTAAGATTTAGTTGCAGAGCCTTTAGCTATAAAGGACGACTCGTAAAGGTATCGGCTTCTTAACCTTCAGCTCTACTACGGCTAAATCCGAGACCTAATCGGACAGCCTCGCAGTTCGAGGGGCGATGCAGGTTTGTATGGGGCCACACTGAATTTAGCATCAGATGTGGAACCGGACAAGGGGACTGACAGGGGACGTGTTCAGCGGAGATAACCACGGCCTTCGTTAAGGGGATGGCTCGAGGAAATGATCTGTGGTTCGAGGACGGTCGCAGTCTTCTGATCGTCTCAGAGTGACCATTCTCCCATACCTAGGCAGTCACCAGCTTGCGACTTTGAGTCTGTTTAGAAAGAATCTTCCTTTTGGATGTCGCAGAGTCTTCCCGTCCGTGGAGGTGGATGAATTGGGAGCGTTGCATTGCGAAGAAGAATTTTTCAGCGCAGAGTTGAAGACTAAGAGCGACGAGCATCTAACCACATTTGCGGCGTAGGCGCAAAGATGCCACGCGGATCTAGCTGGGTTAGTGATGGGATGGATTATGGTAAGAAGAGGTCACACGGAAAAGGACCAACGCTACCTATAACTTGCCATTGGAGGTAGTTTCTGAGTGCAATGAATGCAAGGCGAGTGCTACGATGCATTTTGAGCTAAATCGCAGGGCCTTGTGTGCGAGATACTAGACGAGGAGTATCCATTATGTTGAGGCTCGTCCACATGTGCGCTCTTGCAAGTCTCTTCGGCTGCAGGACCAAGATTTTGCAGAAAGGTCCGACTTGGTTCTCCGTAGTGAATGGAAATTGCCAGAAATTCGGTCGGGTAGACTGGGAACGCCAACTGTATTTGAGACCGTAGTGATCTCGTTGGCTTTTGAGCATGTTGGACTGAATACAAGCTTGACAGCGGGATCTACGCCTCAAGCGCTGACTGCACTACCTATAAAGAGTGAGGCAAATTTATGCCGGGATGATGAGACTCGTGGATTGATGTCTTGTCTTCCTGCATGCCGAGCCAGATTGCATGTGAAGACTGAAGTGGTGTTACAGAGCTATGAACATCACGCCTTGCCTGTATTATGAAGTTGGTGGACCGCAGCGAGCGTAGATGTCGTCTCGATTCAAAAATGGGCTTCTTGAGTCCAATGCGTCGCGCGGAAATGAGTGTGAGAACACGGTAGCAAGAGAATGGAGCTTGGCGGTCTTGCTTGGTTGACCCATGTGAAGTAAAAGGGAGAATTGACTGCCTTGCGTTTGCCGCATTCCTCATTGCTAATGCCGCAGCACGACCGATCTCGATAGGGAACTCTACGTAACCGTTGCAGTCGTCACCATCGTCATCGTGAGAACTGTTGCACGATTATGGACATCGCAGAGCTGGTAGCAAGACTCGCTTGCAGGACTTCGTCATCGATATTTCCAGTCCACGATCGTCAACAGCTAAGAGCCATGGTGGTCGGCTTGTCATCGATCTAAGTGCTCTTGAAGCATTCGCAAAGATGCCAGGGAGTGAATGAATGCTCTGGCGCGGTGAAAAAGAAACTTGGAGGTAGGGACCAAATCATCGATCATAGAGACAGATTTCGACTCCGGTGTACCGTCACTGCCAGGGAACGATTCTCCAGAAATGCCAAACTCCTTAGCGAGGCCTATCATGTCCATTATGTCCTCTTCTTCCTCCTGCTGGCCAGACATGGCGTTGTCCGTATCGTACTCCCCATCTCCATGGCTGTCTTGATTTTCCCCGAGACATTCATCTCCCTGATCGTAGGCCTTCCGGTGCTCATCTGGTCTTCCCTCGCTGCTTCATGGTAGGCCTACCATTTGTACTTCTGGAGGTTTTTACTTTGCGGTAGCTGCCAGAATGCTCCTACTCCCTCCTCTTCTCATCTCTATGCTATGTCTACATAGCACGGTGCACGTCTCTTGTCTCAAATTTTCGCTATTCGCAACGTGACGCTCCTCGCCGTTTGTGACGAGCTTTTGTTCACCGAGGACTTGCTCATGATGTCTGCGCGCTCTTCCATCTGAAGACCAAAGTAACGCCAAGTCTGTGCGAAGCTGAGAGGACCAGTGATGCCCTCCTCTCCTCCTTCGCATACGAGATGCGCAGTAGACGAGGTGTAGCTGACTCCAAGACTTGGTGCGGTATTCCGGTATTCCGTAAGATGCTGTTGAAAGGCAGAGCGGGTTGATTTCGTGGATGACGCTTTCGATCTCCACTTTTCTTACGCAAGATGCAGCGGCTTGGAACACGCGAGATGTCGCTTCGAATTCTCCACTGAATCTCCAGATCCCGTCTCCACCGCGTCCCAAATTGTCGGGCTCTCCAGATCTTGCTCCACCCTCGCGTTACAGTATGAGAT